AGGCAATTTATAATTTTTGATACTTTAAATGCTAAATTTATTATATCAGAAATTGATGAGAGGAAGATTATTTTCTTCTTCTTCTTCCTCCTCTTCATCTTCTTGAAAAAAATATCTATCTGTTTCGGTTGCTCAATGGTTGAAGCTCCATCTTTAATTCAGGCTTTATTTCCCCGGTGGTGACACAATTGACTGATAATGTATCAATCTAATGTTGTCTTATAGCATTGTTTAATTAACCATTACTACACCAAAATAACAAACTAAAACACGTGTCTGTTCCCACTTTAAACCATCACAGTGCTGTAGAAACTAAGTGCGTATCAGCATTTATATACCACGGGGAAGGAGATGAATATAAATAGCTTTCCTTCTTCTTCTGGTGGTTTTTCTCTCAGTGACGTCAGATTCACTATATGTGCACTCATGCACATCCATCCATCTATCTATCTATCTATTGACCCATGTTGTGCTTCCTTTGGCGTTTTTGTACATGTCTTGTTATTGTTATCTTTCTATCAATCCATCAAAATGTAATCTCTTTTACTATATGGGCCTCCAACAGATAAAACCAATAGAGATTATGTCCAGCAGCTCAGGCACACACACACAAACTGAAATTGGTAAGATAGCAATGGCTCTGATTTCTCCATGACCATTATTAGCATTGGTAGGTTTTACTATACAGTGGAAACAGAAAGGTAGCCTAGGCTAAGCACTAGTGGACGGATTACTGCCAAAAAGTGACAGGATGCAATCATGAAAAGACCCTAAAAGACCAAAAAGAGACCCCATAAGACAAGAAAAACCCCAAATAGATTCAAATGAAATCCAATCAGACCAAAAAGAGACACAAAAAGATGGAAGAGACCCAAAGAGACCATAAGGATGCGTACGACACATTCACTGACACAAAACAACCACAAAGGGATGCAAAACCTCTGCAAAGACATTCTGCACAACAGCATTTACTTCAAATCTGAATAATTAAATAAACGTGTAAATATTAATAATTGTGTATTTGAACTTTGTTGTAGTGAAACGCTCCTTGATGGAACCATATATTAACAATCATATAGAGCCATGTATCTAGTAATGATATATAATATAGAGGGGCGACTCTCTGCAAAATGAGTATTTTTACTTTGGATTCTTCAACTATAATTTGCCAATAATACTTCTTCTTAGGACTTCTACTTATAATGGAGTATTTAGATGTTTATGTATCAGTACTTTTACTAAAGCAAGGGTCTGAATTGTTCTTTCTCCACTTATTTTAACTTAATATAATTTAGATTTACCCAAAACATGAACATAATGAGCTTTTTGAAGATGGATGTGATGGCAGGGCTGCATTAGATTGATTTATGAGCAGAGCCCAGTTTCTCTGCACTGCCGAGCTGAACCGGTAGCAGAGGTTGGCCTTGATTTCCCCGTGGATTTATCCCTCCATTACACTGCGAGATGACGAGCCTATAACTGTCAAACTCTCCTCGCAATTACAGCAGCGCAGGAGAGAGGAGAGAGCAGAAAAGTCCTGCAGCTCTTCAACACATTCCTGCTGGTTATTAAACTGATTAACATAACCATACCCGGCTAGCGTGCTGACGTGTTAGCCGGGATTTCAGTTTCATGGCAGCCTGAACATCTGAGAGAGGAGTCACTGAGTCATTAGCACTTCCCCAGACTAATATCTCAGACCTTTCTCTCTCTGTGTGTCTACAGCCGGCGTGCTGATGAGCAGAAGAGGTGCTAACATTTAATGAGCTAGCACTTTTAGAAGCTATCTGTGTGAGGTGTGTGTGTGTCTCCAAGCTGGTGGAGCATCGAAACACTGGTACTGTGTCTTAATACTTCTGTGCTTTCTTTTGATGCTTTGCTGTTTTTGTTTGCTGTATAGCAAAATGCACTATAAGTACCAGGATGATGATCCCAAAAATGGTCAAAAAGTCCAGTGTGGAACGCTCAACGACTGCCTTCTTTGCTACGTTACAGAAGCTACCAACCAGCCGCCATTGAGGTTGCTCAGGTGAACACAGCACTATACAAATAAAAGTTATACATGTGGGTTTCTTACTATATTTAAGTTATGTACCACTATATTGGTGTCAATAAGAAGCCAGAGCTTGGGGTTTTAGTGGGTTAAATTAGTAGACTTCAATGATTTGCTGCCACGAATGATAGCGATGCTAGCTAGCTAACAGCCGCTATCGTCACGCAACCCAGTCTCACGGCATTTCGTGTTATAGTCACGAAATTAATTTAATCTATTGATTCGTGTTCACCAACACGATTTTCACCTTTTTTTCGTGTCACACAGAACGATTTGAAATGCAATGTATTTCTCTTGGTAGTATGTTTCGTGCCTGCAACACGTCTTTTTGTCCGGTCGGGTCTTGGAAGACCAGAAGCTGTGTGGTTGATAAAAACATGTTCTTACTCAATATCTTACCCTAAGCCTAACCCTATCCCTTTTATTTTAAATTGTATAATGTCTGAGTTTTTGTGCCGTCAGTGAGGAAAAGAAATGGCTCAGAACCTCAGAATACTGACATCTGTATTTTATGTCATCTTTTTTTCCTTCTAATTTGTTATTATTTGGTGCAGGCACGAAACATACTACCAATATAAATACATTGCTTCTAAAATCGTTCTGTGTCAGAATACTTAAATATGTATTTTTTTAAATGTATTTTTTCTTCTAATTTGTTATTATTTACATTGCTTTTAAAATCGTTCTGTGTGACACGAAAAACATGGCGAAATCGTGTTGGTGAACACGAATCAATAGATTAATTTCGTGACTATAACACGAAATGCCGTGAGACTGTGTTGCGTCACGACGGCAAAGCAGTCGTGTGCGATTTAACACAACGCTATGACATCGATATTTTGAAGACATTGACACGACATTGAAGTGCACTAAGTGT